ATAATTTATACTAGGTACTATTGTATATTAGTAACACAGTAGGTTCAATTATTTTTGCCAAAAATGTTATTGTGCATATATATTTATTCGTTTTTGAGATATTATACCAAAAAAATATTATAGATTTTATCGTAACTGGTTTTGCATAAAAACCCCCGTTTTTCCCTAGTTGTATTTATGAACATTAGAAAAGTAAAAGGAATTTTTTTATTTTGACCCCCTTAAGTAGGTACTAAGTCTAGATCCAATTTTCTATGTACCAATAACCGCACTCAATGTTAATAATCAAAGCATTTTTACCGAGAAAGCCAGAGTACTATATATAGTAGGTTTCTCGCATGTACCTCGTCATACTAGATTATGTCACTGTAATGGATGTAATAAATTCGAATTTAATGATAAATCATTGCATATGAAAAACAATTCTGAACGGAAACGGTGTGTCAGCTTCTATTTCTAATCATGTTTTATAGTTTTTTTTTTGCATAACTATTAGTAATTTATTTTTCTATTAGTACCTACTCTACGCCATTACGGTATGTTGAAGTCATTTTTGTCAAAAACATTGCAAATTGCATATCATACATCATATATTATTGACTTATATGTCAATATCGAAGCACCATTGAGTAGATTTGTGGTATGCATAAATAGATTAATGAGAGCTAAAATATATTGAAAATTATTCCATGTACTTAGCAAAACGATATAATATGATAGTAATATATTAGATATATTTTGTGAAATTCTCTACTATTTTTCCATTTTGTAACACTTACAAGAGAAAACAAAATTGATTTTGTGGACTATAACTGGTGTAACTGTCAAAATGTACCTAGGTACCTAATATTTTACTACCTATACCGATTATTATTATTACCTCTGGTAAAAATTTCCCTGGTTTTATTTTACCCTGGTAAAATTTCACCAGGGATATTTTCGATAGTAAATATTTACTCCCCGATAAAAATTCACTAAGTGTAATAAATTATTATATTTAAAAATAATATGTTTTGTTTAAGTATTTATTATGTGCTTGAATCTTCCTCTTAGATGTAGATTAAACATTAAGTAGTTTAAAATGGTAGTACATTAATCTTTTGCGTAAACTCACTAACCGAATAAATAAAAATTATAATTTATAATCTATAAATAAGGCTATTTCATATAATAAAGTATATATATTCGTTCGGTACATAATTTGGTAAAATTTCACTAGGGAAATTTAATCCCACCGAGGAAGTTTACCTCCGGTAAATTTGACTGGGTAAAAATATACGGTTCCACCTGTGATGCTGAGATATTTCTGCTTTTTTCGATTGCACTCTTTCAGTCTATTTGACTTAGCTTTTAACCACACAAAGTACCAACCATATATTCTACTGGAAGTTTTAATGGGTATAACTGTTAATTGTTATGATTTTCACTGCTTCAAAAGGTGATGACGGATGCAAAATAAAAACTTTAAATACACACATAAAACCAGCACATTGATATTGATATTCGCTCCACTATATTAACTGTTTGAGCTGTCAGCGGTGAACCATCCTGCGTATATTAATAAATTATATTCTATTACCAAATACAATAATAGTTAAGTACCTACAAGTCTTGTGAGGTTGGGGATGTGGGTTTCTTTTGTCGTTCTATGTTTTATTTTTTGTAATATTTTTACCTTCGATTGGCAATTGCTAATTGGTGTAGGTTCAAACTGTTTTCCAGCCATAGAAACGTTATGAAGTTTTTTTTATATTTATGTAATTTATTTATGTATGGAATGTATTTTAATGTTAGTACCTATCTAAGTTAATTATTAAATACTATTATTATATTATAGAATATAGATGCTATAATATGTTTATAATACATTGTATACACATATTACACATATATTATAAAATTCAGACTTATGTAGTTGTCAATATATGCTTATAGTACTTATTGAAATATTGAGAGCCCTATTCATAGTCGATGCTTAAGAATAAGTATTGTTTAAGCTAACTTTGATAATTTAAAAAATAAAAAATTTGTCATATAAACTAAAAGAAATACTTAAGGTAGGGCTCGACCAACCTTAATTTAAGTAATACTTTTTCTTTTCTAATATGAGTTTCTCTATAGTTCTGGTTGAAAGTTGAAACAGAAATTCAAACACGGTTAAAATAAACGTCACGAGCTCCTATTGTTTCCCTTTTATACTTAGAGACTATAGTGTTATTAACAAAGGTGGGTATTAACTTGTTAAAAAGTTAATATTTATTTAACTTTTTAACTTATTTAGTTAAAATTGTTATTGTTGTAACTTAACTTTTTATAGTTAACTATCATTGTCGTGTAGTTAAGTTAATTTTCTTTTCGGGTCATGCGTAATCAACTAGGCAATACTGATTCGTCGACTTTTTTACGATTTTGGTAATTTATTTTCGAAATTGGTATATATTAGGTATAATAATCTAATTTTTTACACAATTTTAAATGTCTTGGTAAATGTTTGTGTATAACAAAATACTATGGTAGTTAATGACTTAAAAATATTGTACCTTCAAAAAAATTAATTTTTTTTTTAACTGGAAAAGTAATTTTTTTTTCTATCTTAACTTTAAATTTATCTAGTTAAACTTTTTTTCTTTGTTAACTTTTAACTTAATGGAAGGCAATTTGAATGAGCTTAACTTGCCACAGTTAATTATTTTCATTAACTTGCCAACCATTAGTTATTAATTTGTACACGTATAGTCAACGGGAGCTTTATGATAACTAAATTGTTTTAAGAGGAACAGTTATAATATTTATTAACTAGATAATAAGTAATAACAGATAAAATTGACTCATGTCTCACAGTAAACACTTCTATAATTACATTAGGTTATAATAGAAGGTAATAAAAATAATATATAATTAATATTTATACATTATGAATTAGTGCATACCTGTGCATTATTGTATTCATAAAACTATAAATAGATACGGCCAAACAAACACACGGCGAACAGCACTGTGGTCTAAAAGCATTCTAAAATTAACTAAATTAAAATAGTTAATGATTTACCATTTACGAGTTCAATATTAATCATAACTAGTGTTTGAAAATTTCATGAAATATTTCAAAATATGTGAAATATTTCAGTATTTTAATATATTTTGTTTGATTTTTAAATAAGTTTTATATTTACATATAATTGTCATAAATTACCTTCACCACTATATGGTACCTGTATGTATACCTAACCTTTGGTATTATACATTTCAATTGGTATTCAAAATTTTTAAATATTTTAATGTTTAAATGATACAAGTAGGTATACAATATTATACATGTATATTGTATACTTACTGAATTCTGACATTAGAATTTAGAACACTGAACATTGTGTTAAAAAAAAAAATAAATTGTGTTTTTATTTGTGTTAAAAAAAATTTCAATGTTTCACGTTTTTGTGAAATATTTCACAACTTAGTGAAATATTTCAAAATGAAATATTTCTCTTACTTCAAACACTAATCATAACCATATTATCCAATAACTGTTAGGGCCCCGCCACACTACTCCGGTTTCACCGGACCGGTGAAAACGCACCGGTCATCCGGTTTATCAAAACACATTGATTTAAATTTAACCCGCCACACTATTCCTGTACGAACATGTCCGGTTATGCGTCGACCGGTCGAAACTGCACATGATGCGTTGAAAACGGAAAGGGATAGACGGATGAAATAATCAAAACACATTATTTTATATCATACTTGTCACATTGATGCGTTTAACCGGACTGCGGTTTTCGCAATTGTATAATTTAAAATTTGTGATTTTTTTAATTATTTTTTTATTGAATAAATTTATCAATTATTATCATGTTTGGCATTGATAAAACAGATAAATTTATTCAATGTATACAAAACAATAATTCGATATGGGAAATGGGCTCCAGAGAATACTCGGACAAACACCTTAAGCTCAAAAGTTGGATGGACATCGGAAGCTCTATGTATTTAGATTGGAATGAGCTGAAAAAAATGCAAAAGATGAACGAGGTAAGGAAATAACACATACATATTCATAACAAAGATGATATTTTGATTAGGTACCCAAAAATGTACTTACCAAAAAATATCAATGCAATATAACAAAGGATTTTACTGATTTCTAATTACCAAATCAAAATCCCTGACTAATATTACATATAAAACCATGATATTAACAACATGGTATGATAGCAAAAGTGCAGATTTGGTCCAAGTTCGCGCATACACCACTTGCTTACCCGTGTCCAGTATTTTCATATTATCATTAAATAATTATTACTATATACAGTGTGTATACTACACTACTTCACATGCTTACTAAAGGATCTGGCCGTCAAAAAGTTACGATCGTACCTTGTTTTTATATCATGTATAAAACATTTAAATACAATTTAAAATTGTAGATATTTATGATGTATACCTACATTAATTTATTATAACACCTTATAGGTATTAGGTACAAAAAACAAATAGATACTAATCATAATATGGTGATTGTTTTATGTACCATTTACGTAACTTACATGTAAGTATAAATTATAATACGCTCAATATTTACGTAATTGTAATACATAACACAGCGTACAAAAAAATTAAATGCATTGAATGAATACACTGATTTCACGGCAACCAATAATTATTATTATAATAATTTTAAAACCCATGGCAACCACTTATAAACAAAAATTACCACCTTAAATCTCTAATTCTCTGTTGGAGCACATCCTCTGGTTGGACCTAGGGGGGTGATTTGTAGCTTATGTGTTATTCTGATGTATACGCTATATTATTGTAAAGTTTCATTAAAATCAAAATTCAGTATAAATAAATGTATAAACGTTTACAGTTAAAAGATGTTTTATAATAATTGTACCTATGTACAATTTAATTTAAATTAAAAAAAAATAGGTATAAATAATACTATTTTTTTTTAAATAGAAAACATTAAATAAGGTAAATAAAAAATATGATCAAAATTAAATTTTTTGAAATTGGAATGGCACTGATCCAGGTCCCATGAAATATTTTGCGATGTAGTCTCTAACTTCTGTACCTTGAGTACGAGCACCAGTACCACGAACTTCAATATCATCCAACATATTGGTCTCTGTATCTTCGTTGTTGAAGCCATCCCTTCTTCGAACAAAGTTGTGTAAAACACAACACGATTTAATTATTTCGTCCACAAAATCAGGCTCAACTTGTATTGGTGTATGTAAGACACGCCATTTATTAGCCAGAACACCAAAGGTACATTCTACCGTCTTTCTTGCCCTTGATAGCCTATAGTTGAATACCCGTTTAGTATCATTAAGACCACGTCCTGGGTATGGTCTTAATAAGTTCGAGTGTAAGGCGAATGCCTCGTCTCCGATAAATACAAAAGGCTGAGGATGTTCATTTGTGTTTGGTAAATTTGCTAATTCTGGTAGTTTGAGTTGATTTGAATAAAGTTTTTTTCCAAAACAACTCTCTTTAAATACATTTGAATCACCCACTTTCCCTTAGGCACCAACATCAATTGCAATGAAACATAAGTTGGCATCAGCAATCGTCATCAACACAATCAAAAAGTACTTTTTGTAATTGAAGTATAATGAGCCTGAATTGTTTGGACCTTTACATCGAATATGCTTACCATCTATTGCCCCTAAGCAATTTGGAAAATTAGTCTTATCATAAAAAGTATTTGCAATTTCAACCCATCTTTCTGTTGAAGGCTCTGGCATTTCTTTCGGTTGTAAAACCATCCATAAAATCGTACATGTCTCTTTTACGATTTCCCCAATAGTACTCCGAGCAATGTAAAAATCAAATTGTAATACACCAAAACTTGTGCCAGTAGATAAAAACCTTAAATTAAAAACAAATTTTTATAATTACTTTTTTAGGTTACGACTGTTTTTTTTATTATAAATCACCTACCTAATTATTGCAGTTTATTATTATCTACTTCTATTAATACCTAAAATTATTACTATTTCATAATTCTTATGCATTTTTAATTTTGTTTTAATAACTTAATAGTAAAAGAAATGAAAAATACGTAGCGTCATATTCGTGATAATTACTCGAAATTTATCAACCAGGGAAAAAGTGGTGCTGAAGGAACTTCAAAAAAAAAATATGTATATGCTGATGCATTAAATTTTTTGCAACAAACAGTGAAAAAAAGAAAGTAAGTTTTACTTTAATTTTAAATACATTATAATAGACAAATTGCGTATTATAATATATAATAATTTTAGATTCTGAGCGGAGCTAAATAAATGTATTGATTTGACAATGAGTGTGTGTTTTTTTTTAAAATGTCTACTTTTTTTAACGTTTTAAAATTGTAATTAAACAGATTTACAAATGACCATTTATTTTCTTATTCATTTTTATTATTAATAAGTTGAATATTATAATATACAAAATAATTATTAAAATAATAACTAAAAATAATTTAAGAAATCTTGATAGTCTATTATTAATTATTATATTTTATATTATATATTATTCATAATCTTAATTTTTTTAATGTACAAAATTAATGATATTATAATTTATAATATTTTGTATTTGTATCATATTAATAAATTATTATTATTATTAGGACGACAATTAATATTGTGGATGGTGCAGAAAATAAAGTCGATGAAATTTTTTACAACACACACGATGAGTCGGTCATAGAAGATGCTGATAACGAAATTAATATGAATATCTCAAATTTGCCTGGTCCGTCTGCGTCTCAATATGAAAAAACACTTTCAAAATAAAAAAAAAAATTGCTGAGACTCCTTTCCAATCGAAATTGTTGCGTATGCTAGAAAAATCAGAAGATGTAGATCCTGATGTGGCACTTTTAATGGGTTTTTTAAATCACGTAAGAAAATTAACAGAAGAGCAAAAACTAGATTTTCAATCACACGTAATTAATTTTTTCAAATCTCTTTCTAAAACAGTACAACAACCACACAATTTCCAAAATCCTGTTCACACATCTAACTCAAACAATCCTGTACCAGACCTCTCTAATCATAGTATCCATAGTATAAATCCTTTACAATCCGAAGTTTCATATAGTTTTCAAACAAATTATCCCGATAGTCTCAACCCTACAGTATCCACTTCATTTACCACATATCATCCATCAGATATTTATCAGCAAATTTCTACTACACCAACATCCTCAACATTGTCAACAATACCACCTATATTTAATCCTTATTTACTTCCTGGCCCCCTTACAGATACACATCCTTATAAAAATAATAATGATAAATGATTATTATTTAAATAAATATTAATAATTTATAAATTGTATTATCTTTTATTATACCGGGTAGGTTAAGTTGAAAACTAATTTATTTTATTTTACATTTATTGCTGTACCAAGCAGGTACTTATAAAAAGTGTTAACTATTTTTATTTTTTATAAATGTTAATTGTTTTTGCATTATTAAAATTTAAACTATTATGATTCTATGAATATTTAAATAAACTTGAATGTTTTAATCTAAAATATTTAAATATATTTTTTAATTATATGTACCTAATAAGGGTCGGCCACTCGGCCTTACACACCAAAGACCCCTGAAGCATTTATTTTTAAGGATCCCATACTTAAAAAGTCGCTTTGCTGTACAGTAGGTTACTTTTGGAATACTTTTCTTAAATTACTTTACAAGATTGGCTTGTAACCTTGATATCGGGTGTAGTGCTGAACAAATATTGATTTTATATTTTAGGTACCTATTTAAGTTTAGAAAATATGTAGTACCTATATGTATTAGGTATGTTATAGTTATATGTTATTTTCCCAGTTTGAATAAGAAAAAAATATTTAAATAACACTTACCTCAGTGTCACTGTCAAACGCTCTTCTGCCGAAATTGCATTTCGAAAAAATGTATTTTTTTTGGTAATATATTCACGTATATATTTCAAAAGTTCATCAAACGATGTTCTGGACATCCGATAATACTCAAAAAATTTATCTGGATGTTTTCTTAGATTTTCAAAAAATAATGAAAATCTTTGTGATTTTTTACGATTTACATTTAATGGATGAACCCAAAATTTACGTTGCACGGGCTCATCTAGCAGTCCAAGTGCTTCCGTAATACAAACAGCTTTTATTTTTTTGTTCATTTTTATTATTAATAAGTTTAATAAAATAATAACTAAATAGCCTATGTTAACTCAAAATCCACGTGCAAACAAATGATTATTTGCAATACTACAACTGAATAACTACATCATTTTTATCAGGTGTATAGGTCGAATTTTAGGTGGAAAGGGTAACCGTTTACGCGGCAAAACCGCAATAGTGTGGCGACAATGTCCCGTCCGGTTTATAATGAACGTTTTCACCGGTCCGGTGAAACCGGAGTAGTGTGGCTGGGCCCTTATTGCCTAGCAAAGTTCAAATTCAAAATATACATAATATACCGATTACATCGCAATAAAAAATTGTAAATAAGCATCAGTTAAGACAACAAGTCATAAATATCGGCTGAAGTGTGAATTTACGAAGTACGTCGTTCGTATATATCGAGTGCAGTGTACTTATTACTATAGGACACAGGATATATATTGCACGAAAGAGTAGCAAAATAATTAATCAATTTAATATCGATAAGACTAATAATAATATTATTGTATTATGCCAAATTATGTTTTTCCTGCTCGTTTGTGCATTCCACTGTGCAGTGGAGTATATAGAAATAATTTTTGGGGTGGGCTATATACGAGGCGTGTTACAAAAGTATGAACAAAGAAGTGGAAGACCTTCGATTTCAGACGAGTTGAAAGAGAGCTTCGTGAAGATCGACGAGTGACGGTTCGAGATCTCGAACAAAGATTTGAGTTGTCAAAAAGCACCATTTAAAGGTTTTTTAATGATATGGGCTATCACAAATGTTGTGCTCGGTGGGTGCCTAAAATGTTGACCGAGGACCATAAGCGCCAACGCATTGAGACTTCTCGAGAATTTTTGTCTCGTTATGCCGAACAAGGAGAGGATTTTTTAGACTCCATAGTAACGGGTGATGAGACATGGGTTTACCATTTCACTCTTGAGTCCAAACAACAGTCACTGGAGTGGAGACATTCTCGCTCACCGAAAAAAAGAAAGTTTAAAGTGACGCAATCTGCTCGAAAAATCATGGCCACTGTTTTTTGGGACAGGAAAGGAGTTCTGTTGATTGAGTTTATGCCAACTGGGACAACCATTAATGCAGCTTCGTATTGTGAGATTTTTAAAAAACTTCGCAGAGCCATCCAAAATCGAAGACGAGGCATGCTGACGAAGGGTGTTCGTCTATTGCATGACAATGCCCGACCCCACGTTGCCCGTGACACAAAAGCACTCTTGGAAAAGTTTGGTTGGGATGTGATCTCCCATCCCCCTTATAGTCCAGATCTTGCCCCGTCCGACTACCATTTGTTCTTGAACTTAAAGAAACATTTGGGAGGGAAACGGTTAGAGACAGATGAAGAAGTGAAGACAGAAGTCACCCAATACCTAAATAAGGAGCTGGCGGCGAGTTTCTATGAGGCTGGCATACAAAAACTTCCAGATCGCCTTGAAAAATGCATCCAAGTAAATGGCGGTTATGTGGAAAAATAACTCATAAGTACTGTATATATAACCATGTAAAAAATATTTTGAATAAAGCTTATTTCGATTATTATAATTATGGAGACCTTACTTTTGGGACACGCCTCGTAGTAAATAGAAACTAGCAAGTGATCTATTACTTAGAGGCTACTGTCTACTATACTGGGTGATTCTTTTATCAAACAACACTCATTATTTCTAAAAGTGTAAATTTTTTTGAAAATATTTTTTTACATAGTTTCAAGTCGCTTATAAAACAACGTTTTTATTAAAAAATTATATTTTTAAATATTTTTTATCCTTATATTTTTTTAAGTTTTTTTACTTTTTTGAATAACAACATAGGGTTTTAATTTTATATTCCAAAGCAGAATATTTTTCTTAGTATTTTGATACATAAAAATCGAATTTGGGTTGAGTAGTTTATGAGTTATAAGTATTTAAAGTTTAGATGAGCTGAGTGGAGTGGTTCGGGGTTACCCCGCGAAATGTTTGTCCACTTCACCGCTCGTCTAAACTTTAAATACTTATAACTCATAAACTACTCGCCCCAAATTCAATTTTCATGTATCAAAATACTAAGAAAAATATTCTACTTTAGAATATAAAATTAAAACCCTATGTTGTCATTCAAAAAAGTAAAAAACTTAAAAAATTATAAGGAGGGCAACCCCGTTCGAGCGTCCTGCTGTATCTAGTGCCCTCTAGAACGAACTCAGTGGATCTGTTTTTCAGGTAAGAGTTCACTATTCTCTGCGTGCCAACAGATGCACCAAGGAGATCGAGTTGTCTTAAGAGTGGCGACCATTGTACGTTGTCGAATGCGCCGGTGATGTCTAAAAAGACACCAAATATGTGTCTTGCGCTGGACCCATCTACCCAGCTGTAATCTTTTTCAATCGCACTGATGGTGGATCTGCCCATCATGAAGCCGTGCTGCTCGCTGTAAGAGTCAAGGCTTGTCTCGCGCGTCAATTCGCCTATTATAATAGATTCGAGTGCTTTCCCCAGGACAGGCAGGAGACTAATAGGACGGTAGGACTTCACCTCGCCCAAGTTTTCCTTACCGGGTTTTGGTATTATTATAAGTCTCGCTGCCTTCTAGCATTCCGGGAAGGTCCCGTTCTGAAGGCAGTTCTGAAAGAGGTTCGTGATGATATCCCTAAGTTGCATCCACGCTTTTCTGAGAATGCCTGCTGTGATGCCATCGGATCCGGGAGCACTATTCGTCCTCATCTTCCAGATGGCATTTTTTATAATGTCCGGGCTGAGTTCGCCTTTATACTGAATTGGACCATGAGCTTCGGGTATTTCCCCATGCGGGTCCGGAGAAACAAATGTGCTGAAAACCAGGTCAGCCGTTTCGCGGCAGTTTGTGGTTTGAGAACCATCCGCGCCAGAAAGCGTGCTGGGCATGGAATTGCATGAGTTGCCGCGTTTTGCCCATGAGAAGGCTTTTCCCCACGGGTTCTTATTGAGGTCTCCCGCAAAGCACTTCCATGCGGCCCTTTTGTGATTCCTGGTCTCTGTCAGGAATTCGTTTTTCAGTTTATTGTAAGCTGGCCTATCGGTACTCATTAGACCGCGACGCCTCTGTCGGACAAGGTTCTGTCTAAGAGTGGACAGGACTGGAGACCACCATGGACTTCTGCCCATCACAGCGGTTGGTCTCTTTTTAGGGATTGACCTATCAGCCGCCGTGGTTATAGCACGGATGATGCCATCAGCTGTTGTGTTTATACTGGTGCTGCTGTCGGTTATGCGACCAATTTCACCGAGTAGAGTGGTCTTGAAGAGATCCCAGTCGGCAGAACTAACATCATACCTAATCTCATCTGGGACTCGCTCTACCGGCTTTTTCACTGCCAGTCTGAAACTAATGACACGGTGGTCACTGTCAGTCAAGTCTGTGACTGTCCAATCTTTGACGAGACTGGCCGTGTTGGCTGTAGACATCGTGACATCTATATTAGATGTTCGTCCATCACGGCGGCAAAAGGTGTTTATTATGCCGGGACAGTTGTGAACGATAAGGCCATATTTTCCTATGAATTGTTCTACAATCTTTCCTCGGCGGTTTCGTTTATTTGAGTGCCATAGATCTGAATGGCCATTAGTATCGGCACAGATCACAGTCCTTTTTTCCTTTGCAATGATATGTTCTAGTTGCTCAACGTGAGCAGTTGTCGGCAGACTGTATTTAAAGTAGGCCGAGGCTAGCACGACGTGATCGTTATTGTCGCTACCATAGGCGACTTTGATGGCGACAATATGACTTGACGAGAAGTTACTCAGTTTAAGCGCTTGGTATCTGTTAGTGAATGCAATTATTGCGGCGCCATTACTTTTACTGATATGCGATCTACAGCTCTCAAAGGCGTAAACCTTCCCGCTGGTGACTAGTGGCTCTTGGATCAGTAAGTAATCAATTTTGTTCACTTTACAGGCTTCCCGTAGTTGATGACTCGCAATGCGGTCGCGGTTCACGTTATGCTGGTATATTTTAATGTGAGTACTCATTTTGGCCAGTAATTGCGAAGTCCGTTCGACGGAGGAGATTTCTCATAGCTTTAGTTTTAGCCGGGCAGTTAGCCGAAGAAGCTTTATGATTTTTGCTTTTACAGTTTGCACATTTCATTAATTCCTAGTCGCAATTTCGGGAGTCGTGCTTTCCTGCGCAGTGTTTGCAGATTGGGTCATCTGAACGGCAGGTCTTGGCCGTATGGCCATATCTTTGGCAGTTGTAACACTGAGGGAGGTCATTATGAGGTTTCATTCTGCATTTTGTTAGTCCTAAGTAAACTGTCTTTCTCTCGAGTTAACAGAAGGTCTCAGGGCGAGTTTCAATAACCCAATTGACTGTGGGCCTGTCTCGGGGACCAGTTCGGAATAGTGGCCTGATACTCTCAGTATCTTCTGTGGAGAGACCTAGATCCTCATTCTGGTTAGCTATGTATCCAGCAAGGAGTTCCTTTTCTAACTCTTTGTCCACTCCAACCACGAGGAGTCTAGGGAGGGAAGGTTTCCTCTCCACTAATTTGTTCGTGCGCCTTAGAGCATTCAAGGATGCGGAGTCCTCCGGAAAAAGGATTATTCCGTCCTTATTTTTGGATATGCGTATGCGGGGACAGCTTAGTTTTAGTTCTACCGATTTTCACGTGACAGCAGTATTACCAAATGTTACCTATTTAATTTTAATAAGCTTTTTGTCAATGCTCAACGATTTTGACAGACCCGCGGTGCTGGTAATATAACATCGGTAAATACCATTACTAAAATGCAAGGCAAAACTAAACAGTGGAATCAATTCTATATTTATTTGCCATCGACCAGTGGAAGTGAGTACTCGTTACTTTATTATATTTTTCACTTTTTTTTTTTTTGTTTTTTTTGACAACTTTACTAATGTTAATTTTTCGTTGTAGAATGTTTCAGTTTACAAATTGTACGGTGACGATGCAGGCTGCAAGCCCCGTCACCAATCAACCACCATCTTCTGCAATTGTAGCACCTAAAAGTATGTATAAATATTGTCAATTGTCATGACGTATATACGGTAAACGGGAAAAAAGTCCCCGGTAAGAAAGTCCCACGGAAACAAAGTCTCTCATTGTAGAATAAATAAAACGATATTTCCTCTATACTGTTATATACTGGTATATCTATGTTTCTAAATAAATTGGGTTGACAAATCTTATATATTATTATATGTTTAAGATATTATATTATTTTCAATAAATTTAAAATGTATTTAATTATGTATATAAATACTTATCTACAATAATTTTTAATCCTAGAAAGGTATATATTTAATTTAGTTGATTGTTAATAATTTTCAATACAAATATGTAACATGTTTTACCTATGGGCTATGTACTTAATAAATACCTATATGATAAATAGGGCTCGGATTTATATGTATTTATTTAACCAAAGTATGTATTTATACAACAAAAATATGTACATAAATATGTGCTAAAAAATTTATAATATGTATTATCAAAAAAAAAAATAAATATTATTATTAATTAAAATGAAATGTAATAAAAAAAATATTTATCTAACTATCTAATTACTAATTATTATGGTTACAATTAATAATGACATGCATTTTTAAATTTTCGAATTCGAAAGACCGCCGATTATGTCGTAAAATTGATTTATATCGACTGAAAGATCTCTCAACTTCGACTGATGTTATAGGACAATATTGCATGTTGACTATGTCTGAAGGAGAAAGTTCTACATCCAATGAAGCTTCAGACGAAATACCAGTCAGAATATTCTTAATAGCTTTCATTTCTGCTAGACCGGAATTTTTTTTTTAAATATAATATAATTCATTTTTTAAATCATTATTTTCTAAAAGAATTGCAGCTTTTTCAATATACATTGAAGTAGTTGCATCGAGTTCGGCAACAACATTTTTGATTTCTTGGAAGTTTTGGCAATAATAATTAGCGGCATTCAACCAAGTGCCCCATCTAGTTACAATTGGTTGTGGAGGAAGGCTTAGATCTGGGTACATATTTTTAAATATTTCGACACGGCTGGGAGCTTTTAGAAATATCTTTTTGACTGCAGATATTAACTCATCAACTTTTGTAAATTTTGATCTTATAGTTTCTGCTATTCGGTGAAATGCGTGTGCTAAACACGTTAAGTGGATCATTTTTGGAAAAAAAGCATTTAATGCTTTACCGGCTTTTACCATGTATGCACAATACAAAATTTAACCGTCACTTTTTAAATGTTCATCTGGAAATTCAGTAACATATTTTGTTGCTTTGCAAGTTTTAGATGATCGTACTTTCGGCATTATTGGTCACACGTAAATTAAGACGTTGTTTAATACACAGATTAAAGTATTAAACCCACGAAATTAAATTAACACGGCCCGTTCGTTACTGCAGGTATACTGACTCACTGTCAACTGTCAGTACTTCAAACGCAGACGCGTTTTAATAACTCGTTATCTTTATGAGGTCATAAATATCAAACATATATCGACAGTAGATTAGATTAAGTTTAAAAATTGGTATTATTTTGTACTTTTGGATACATGGGCAAGTCTGTATTAATAAATAATAAATCGTAAATGAACAAATTGTCGAAATATGTAGGAAAAATGGAATTATTGAGAAATATGTAAAAACATGTACTTATGGCAAAATATGTAAAAATATGTAAAATAAAATATAGTTCATTTTATTGGAAATCCCTTGAAACGAATTTATCACTTACCTAAATTAATTTATCAAGTCACAGTAAAAATATGTATTTACATATAAATCCGAGCCCTAATGATAAAAGACAGAATTTAAATCAAATAGTAATTTGGAGACTTTTTTTTTTCCGTGAGCCTTTTTTACCGGGGACTTTTTTTCTTACATATAGACCTATAAACTAATGGATTGCGCCTCCCTCACCACCCAACCATCACTGAGTAACGCCAATATAGAGTGAGTAAGAAGGAACATAGTGGGGGATTCTTGATGGAATCATATAAGAGAAAGAGAGAAAAAACATAATGTGGGAAATCATAGACTTACGAAACTAATACTGTATATTAGACCTCTTACCTCTCTTTCTAAGCGTTGTCCATTAGTTTATAGGTCTATGGATAAACATGGTAATGTTGTTCGCTTTTCTTTTTCAGAATGCTACAATTGCAGAAAACCTGGCCACCTGGCCCGCCATTGTAAGTGTATTTTGTGTATATTATATATGTGATCGTAGGCAATGCATCTAAAATATTATTTTTTATGCAGGCAGGAGACCAAAAGTGCAGAGGGACCGGCCCCCCCCCCGCCGCCGTGACCGGTCCCCTCCTAAGCGGCGAAACCGGTCCCCCCCTCGGCGGCGAGACTAGTCCTCTCCCCAGCGGCGAGATCGGTCTCCCCTCTGGCGGCGAGATCGGTCCCCCCTCCGGCGGCGAGACCGGTCTCCTTCCAGACGGCGATACGGGGCCTCACAGCAGCTCCGGGACTCGCCCCCCCCCCCCCCCCCCGTCGTTGGGGAATGGTGCCGGGCAGGCTTCGCACCAGCACTCAGGCCATGACCGTGGCTCGAGTGCTCTTTCATCTATGGGCCACGATATATTTGTAATATACATGTTAGTTATAAATGTTTTTCAATACATTGTTTATAGGATGACGGTAAGCTAGTGGTAAGCTATAAAAAGTTCCTGTGTACTAATTTTTGTGTTCTTTTTATTGTCTAATTCTCATTTGTGTTTGTATATATTTTCAGAATGAATAATCTATAAATTATGTAGAAATATATATATAATATATAACAACCAGTGCTCGAATTGGGGGGACGCAGGGGGACGGAGCTCCCCTTCAAATTTTAATTTTTTTTAGCGTACCCCTTCTTATATTTTTAATTTTAACGGGGGGGGGGGGGGTACGTCTCCCGTGTAAATTATTATTGACAAACTTATAAAACGTTTATTTATAGATATTTATTATGTATTATCAATTTGAACAAAATATGCGATAAATTGTAAATTTCATTAATGATAAAAATCAAAATATATAAGATAATAAGATAATTTATTATTATAATCACGGACCACAGACTATAAATCTTAGTCCGTGATTATAATACAGGCTTACATATAGGTACTGATATACTAATAATGTGTATAAATAATGTATATTATATCGAGATTAAAATTAAAAATTCATGTTATCGGATGGTCGGTAACACTGTAAACAGTACCTATGTAGTTCAAAATATTGAAGAGAACCATTCATATGTTTTTAAATACATTGTTTATAGGATGACGGCAAGCTAGTGGTAAGCTAGGTATAAAAAGTTTTTATACATAACCTAACCTAAGTTATATTACAACATATATATAACAGATGTTATCATATTTATAAGTTTGCATAACTCTCCTTTAAAACGGTAGGTATGCATAGGCTCGAACAAATTATTGTTGGTGTTATTAGTTAATGAATAATATTAATGGTAACATTAATTGTTAACCAATGGCTAATAAAAGATATGAAAATGTAATACAAGATTCCTTATAAGATTTTCTACATTTATCAAAAAAAAAATGTCTACAAGAAAGTCAAATTAAATTTTTATGAGTGTTTGAAATTCAAATTTTTACAACATTGGAGATTCAGTCGATTTCTCATATAGCGATTTCCTTATTTTGTTGTAATTCTAAAACGAATAACTGTAGATACATGAAAATTTCACTGAATGTTTATATTAGCATTTTCTAAACACTATACGATTTTGAAAATATTTTGACTCTTTTTGAACTGTTTACGGACATTTTCAGTTTTCGATTTTTTTGGTTTTTTTTTCTATAAATATCAATAAAGTTTTATCTGTTGGGTCAAAAAGTATAAAAATTTAATACAAGGCTCCTGATGTATTGTTACAATATCAGTTGAAAAATATTTCAAATACATATGCACAATTTCTTTTTATAAACATTTAAAGATCGAACTTTGACAAAATTTATCAAAATCTCGAAAATTATCAATCATTGTAAT